ATTGGTCCTGAGCCTCTTACTTCATCTCTTCAATTGTAAAACCTCTTTCCATTTCCAAAATTGTCTTTTCAGATACTTTGCATTCCCTGCTCAGGTGCTGTTCTCAAGTGCTCTACACACAGATTCAAGTAGAGGACTCTTATTCACAACCAAAAGCTGGATTTTCCATAGCTATGCTACCAGAATAACAGTATGCACAGCTGAAGGGTCAGGGCAAGAAAGTAAAAGTAATCATTGTTTTCTGATCCTCTCTAGATACTTCTCCAAAACAATTACTTCTTGTTAAGTACCAGTCACATAAAATACTGAGAAAGACAACACAATGTAACTGGAGACATGACACTAATCCATATGAACCAGTAACTGGAAATAAACTGGACAAGCTCAGCAAAACTTCATCCATAAATATCTCAATGAGCCCTCAACAATTAGCCTTTCATACATTTTACCTTGGGGGTTTTTTTGCAAATTACTATATAAACTGAGATATAAATTTGGTCAAAAACATACCTCGAAGACAACTCAGATTTTACATCCTTTTTGCATTGCTCTTCATGCTGAAACTCATATATGAATTTCCCTACCTGGTTTTCACACTCTTTGTTGTGCTGTAAGTGAATCACCAAATTTTATTTTATTTTATGGGTTTTCTGACCAGAGCATTGAAGTGGTCATGGTTACTGTGGGACCTCATCAGCTGTTTGGTGCAATTTGGAAAGTGGGAACTGCAGAAGAGGAGAATTAACAAGCTGTCAGAGTAAACAGGGCCTTCAGTCGTGAGCTCTCCACCAAGGACAATGTAGAATCCTGGAATGGTTTGGCTTGGAAGGGACCTTTAAAGATCACCTGATGTCAACCCCCCTGCCATGGGCAGGGACACCTTCCACCAGACCAGGCTGATCAAAGCCCCATCCAGCCTGGCCTTGAGTATTTCCAGGGATGGGGCATCCAGAGCTTATTTGGTCAGCCTGTGCCAGAGCCTCACCACCTTCATCATGGAAAGATTTCTTCCTTATGCCCACTCTAAACCCACCTTCCCTTAATTGTCCTGACACTACAGGCCTTGGTAAAAAGTCCTGCCATCTTATAAGCCCTCTTTAAGTCCTGAAAGGCTGCAATAAGATCTCTACATAGTAAGGATAGAGACATACTAAGAATTATCGTATTTACCAATAAGCCACAACTCACTGCATGCCTTACAAAAAAATAAAATAAATCAGGTAAAACTGACTTTTAAAAGGGGCACTGTGTATCACCAAATATACACTGCAAAACAAACAGTCTTGAATGTCCAGAGCCTTGAAAGCTTCCTTCTGTACACTGCCCAAGTGACCTGCAGCCTGGAGTTAATTTACAAATATATTCTCACACATTCAGGCACTCACAGAGAGCTGCTGACTTGGCAGCGCTGGAGACAATTAATTACAGAAAGTGCTCAGTAAATAAATGTTCCATTTGAGTTGCTCCCTTTGTTCTGGCGACAAACCACGCAAAGAAGGTCACATTCGAATTCCACTTCAACCACACATCCATATAATTCTCCTTCCTTTAATGCAGGGGGAAGTAAGGAAGATTTACTCATCAGCTCCCTATTTTGGAGGAGTGCAGACTGCACTGGAAGAATCTCATTCTACTGCAGGTAGCTTATGGTTTCAGTTAGACCTGTTTGTGTGCAGAGCAGGGATGTTTCCTGCCTGTTTCCTGCCCAAGGAGGTGACAGGCAGCTGTGTGTTCTGAGGGGAGCATGTAGGAAAGGTGCTGAAGAGGGGAAGCCACTTGTGTAACGAGAAAATAGGTTTAAGGACCTGCAGGAACACTTGAACAAATACGAGCACTTCCGAGGGTCTCCCCGACCAAACCTCACAAGTTCAACTTTTATGAATCAAGCTGTCAGTCATGTAAAATGAGTTTGGCTATTAATGAAAAAACAATAAATGTACAATAATGAGGAAATGACCTAATGGACCAAGGCAGATTGACTTAATTTGTTATTAATTAACTGCCCTCAGGAGAAACTGTAGAGGGAGTGGCCAAACACCAGGATAATGGTTAACAGAATACCTTCAATAAATGAGATTTTCATTTTTGGCGTGCTCCAGGAAGAACTGAGGAAAAAAAAATTAAAAGATGCTGTTCTCTGCTTGCTGGCAAGACTATTGGTACAAGTCACTGCTGATAAATTAAATTAAAGCCCGCGTGCAGAAGCATTTAATCAGAAAGAACAAGTGAACAGAGTGAAACACTATCAGCCTTGTTTTGCTCTCGTCCTGGCCTTTATACTCAAACTGTTCTTAGCTACTTCTTTTCTATAATTACATTAATTACCACATTCTAGGGAGAAAAATAACCCTGAACAGCAATTACAGCTTCAACAAGGGTAACAGAAATGTTACTAAATAAAGAATATCACTATGGGGAGTTCCACGCTTAGGAGAAGCTGCATCATCTACAATTTCCCTTGGCTATTAAAAGTCTCCTGCAATATAACCAAAGATTTCTTTATAACTGCATTTCTGCCCTCAGCAACAGCAAAGATGCAGAAACAGTATGCTCACCTATGTTTTCTCTTCATCTGTTGAACTCTTCCGTTTAAACAACAGATTCTAAAACTGACATGAAAATATTTTCATTTCTGTTCCCCTTCTACCAAAAGAAATTTGCCCATGGCCAAACCCCTCATCACACTGGCCTGCCTACCTTGCCAGTGTTCAATTCACAAGCTCACTGCCCTCTACTCTCCAGCCCACCTGTCATTCTCAACAAATGTCCTCTACGAGCCTTCCTTTGCCATACCTTGTCTGGGACTGCTTCTTTCTTCCACCTCATTTCTAACTTCCTCACCTCTCACCCCTTGCTCTCTGAAAAGACCTCTTTCCTGGAAGCGATTTTCTTACATGAAGTCAGGCAGAACACTGTCCAACTTTGTGCCCTGATGAGTGAGGGGTGAAATAAAGACTGGGGCACTTGTGTATTGCTTGGATACCACTGAGAAAATTCGGCACAGAAAACTTTCCAAATTAATGCCCATGCACTAAGGTCATTTCCCATTTCCTTCAAAAAACAGAAAGTGTTTTTCAAAAGAGCAATCTGTACCAGAGACTATTCTCAGAGGCTCAAATTAGCTCTTTCATGTTTTCCATTCCAGACAAATACACTAAAGCTTTCTTGACATTAGGTCTCTTCAATCAACTGCTCTAGTCTCTATCAATGGATTTTATTTATAAATAAAGCAGATGTAATAACTGCTACCCTAAGAGGCAAAAAGGCACTCATCTAATTTGTGTAGTCATGTTTTTGTTATCCTGTGTTCTGTTGCTCCATCTCCACTATGCAGGCTTCCACTGAACAAAACAGGATTTTTAAGAGGCAGAAGAATCAGATGTGCACCCACCCAGAAAAATACAGCCTGTTCTGTCAACATATTGAGACCTCTCCGGAACATCCTGCTTCCAATATCCAAATACAGGCTTCTTCATGTTTGCAACATCAGGCTAGATTAGGAGCCCAAATAAGATAAAATACCAGGAGGAGATACTTTGGGAAATACTAAAATGGCACAGGCAGAAACTGGAAATTTTAGCAGGATGAAAACTGCTAATGGGGACAAAGAACAAAACCTCACTCGCCTCCCACATACAATGGGAGGCTGCCCTGGAGCATGGAGCTACACCCAGCCAAACATTTCTGAGTCAAGCAGTGAGAGAGTAAGTTTTATTTAAAAATTAACACAGAACAGATTTTCATTCCAATGAATTAGGAAGCCAAAATCAAAGCACGTAGAGCTCGAATGCTGGGAAAAGTAGCATCTGTCAGAGAACATACACAGCACCATGGAAAGATCCTGGAGGGATCTGGGCTACTGGGTGCTGGCTCTAAATGCCAGCTAGAACATGAGGGGCACTCACAAAAGGATAACCTTTCCTTATGGGATTGGGAAGTAGGCAGCCTTCATTACGTAGTCCACCTCAACTCCATTTTTCCACTTCTTTCATGAAAAAACATTAAACCTGTCTATGACTGTGATGGTTTGACCTTGGCTGGATGACAGGTAAGGCTGCTCTGTCACTACCCTTCTCAACTGGCAGGGGAGAGAAACTGTAAGGAGAGGCTCATGAGTTAAGGACAGGGAGAGGTCACTCACCCACTACCAATCATGGGCAAACCAGACCGGATGTGGGGAATTTAACTGAATTTATTACCAGTCAGAATCAGAACAGGATAACAACAAGTACAACAAATCTTAAAACCACCTTCACCCCACCCCTCTCTCTCTTTCCTGGACTCTACTTCCTCTCCCCCAGCAGTGCAGGGAGACAGCAATGGGGGTTATGGTCAGTCCAGCACAGGTTACCAAAACCTGGCCATGCAAACCCAATACACTCCACACTACCCTGCCTCTATGAGTCACATATTTAAGAATTATCATTAAAATCCACATTCACCACACAACCTTCAACATCAACAAAACAAACCAACCAACCAACCAACCCAAAAAAAAAATTCCCCCCCCAAAAAGATCAAAGTAACATTATCACAGCACCAAACAGAAGCGGATAATTTACACAAAAACCACCCCTTGCCCCTTCACCATAATTACAACAAAAATTCTCCACGATCATTCCACTCTCTAACATTGTTCAGTCCATATTTTGCTCCCTACCTCCCTCCATTACTATTCTTATCTCAAATTCCTCATGTTCCCAGGTTTTGGCACCAAAAAGACCAGTTTCTCCTTCTATCCAATTAGAATTGTACATGTTGGTAGGTTAAGCGACTGCTTAAAATCCTTGAAGGTTTGGTTTTAAGGAACTGCAGTATTATGGATCTACTTTCAGTACTCCCTAAGAAGCTTTAAAATAAGTTCACAAAAATTTTCATTAAATGAATAAAAAACAACGTTCAGCTTAACTTGACAATCACGTGAACATTTCCCACACTGAGGAAAGCCGTAGCTGTCCAACACATTAAATACAGGAAACTCCTTGGAAAAGCAGACTTACAATGGTGTTGCAGAGTTTGTATTGCTTGTAGGTGCCGACGCACACGATGGCCGTGGCCCTCTGGGGCTGGGGCTGCCCCTGCAGGGCCTGGGCTGGCACAGGGTCACTGCTCTGGAACAGACTTGGAGACGCGGGAAACGATGGTGACTGATAAACTGAGGGTCCCAGGACCTGATGTCCTGCCTGAGGCCCACTTGCTTCTTGATAAAGGTTCCCGTGTTGGACTGGAGGCCCAGCTGCTTGGCTGTAGGTGCTCAGGAGGCTCGGGCTCGGGTGGAACACGTGGCTCCTCGAGGACTGGCGCTGCCTCCGGAGCTTCTGAGGCTGCTGACCAGTGTCAGTTTGTAAAGGTAAAATGTATGGCACTTTTCCATATCCATACTTTCCCGGACCAATAGGATTTCTGTTTCTGTTCCTGAAAAAAGAGAGAGAGAAAACAGTTAGTGAATCCATAAGCGAGGGAGCAGTTAGATATTTATACGTGACCTGTCATTTGTCAGAGTTATTCACTGCAAAGCAACAGGTAACCAGAAATTTAAACCTGTTTTCCGGAAAATACGTTCAAGATGCAGTCTTGCTTGATATATTGGGAACCTCTGAAGAAGTCTACTGGTTCAACTAAATTCTGGGCCCTCTTTGGCCAAGAGTCACATGAGAGTCACTGAGTGTCAGCTCCCAAAGGCTGAGGGTAAGGTGTGGTATAAAACAGCAGTTTGGAGTGAGGTGGTGGTTGTTCTTTTAATCCCCAGGACTCTGCTCTAAAATGGAAATTCAGAGAATCCAAGCTGTATACTGCTAAAATTCATAACCATGTTCCAGAAGGGCTTGAGACAGATAACAGCAGAAAATCCCTACTGAGGATTTGAGTAATGACAGAAGAAAATTTGCATTCAGCATGGCAAAGATCATTAAACATTTTGTATCCATTCTAAAGGTCTCCTGTGGTTCTGCTTCATTTGCTACTTAAGAAATAAAAATGGAAACAGAAATAAGAATAAAGAACATAAAAATATTACTGAAAGACCTCTGGAACACATGACAAATGCAGGAAAATATTCTTATTATGTTACACAGATGATTTTCTCTTCTCTGGCCAGCAGATTTACCCTTTTTTTAAAATATGCAAAGTGTGGATTTCCAATACATTTAATTCCTAAGTCGTGACCCCCCAGTTTGTTGTCAGGATAAAAGCCCACCTTTCACTGTCCCTTACCAAAACATTCCCAAGAGCTGACAGCCCTGAGCACTGACCATCACATCTCACGTCTGCTCTCCTGCTCACAGATCTCACTTACTGAAAACCCTGTATTTTGGGCCATGTTACACCCGTACCAACAGTCTCAGGCAGCTGGGATGCCATCTGAGATATAACAGATATAATAAATAACAAATTAAGGCAATTTGCCTTGGTCCATTAGGTCATTTCCTCATAGCAACATAGAGGACTCAGCCTGGAGTCTCAGCTCCAAATTGCAAGTGAAGAGTCAAAGAATTAATTATACCACATTTGAGTCTCACCATTTAAGGGAGGTAATCCTGGAATTTTATCTGCCAGCAATAGGTTCATTTGCATTTGCTTTTCTTCTCAACCTGTGCAGCTCAATATCACACCAGGCCCTGATTTCTAATGCCATAGTCTGAAGAATAAGTTGGCAAAAAATTATTTCTTCCAGTTCAGAGCAACGTGTGAATACAGTTATTTTGGGTAACCTTTGCAGCTCAGGAAGGGAGACACCAATAAAGGAAAGTAATTTTCTTTCTGTCCATAAAATATATCTATATTTTTAATATATATACAAAATAGACTTGAACTGCAGTGAAAACCAGAAGTTATAAAGTGACACACTTATTTTCTAGAAACTGAAGTGTTACAGATGTCAGACAGACACCAGATCAAAGGGACCTTTCTTTGGGACCTTTCTTTGTTTTTTCTAGGGTTTGCTTTCTTCCCAAGTCTTCTATTCTCCTAAGATTCTTGTTACATGGGAACCCTGGAAGTCATTTACTTCACATTCTGGCCTTATGGCCACGTGGGGCTTTTAATCAATCTTCCTGGCCCAAGATGTGTGAACAAGAGTGCTGACTTGCCCTGGCAGATAAGAGACCAGCCCTCTTGAAGTGTTTATCCCCCTTAATCTGCTCTGACCGTGACAGTTGTTGTTGAGGCAGGGCTTTGGTAGTTACAGTGGAGAGCAGCAGTATAATGGCTTTTGGCATTAAGGCAGGGAAAGGAAGGCTTCCTGTAAGTAAACAGAAGAGGAAAGAAAGAGAAATTATGAATGGGAATTATTTCAGAAGTTTAGACTAAATCCAGTTTGATTTAAATGAACACAGTTTTGTTGTTGTGTTTTGGGGGGGGTTTAATGGGCAAATAAATTGATTCCCCCTATGTTGCTGATATTTTTAATTTTTAACGTAACTCTTCATTTCTGAGCAAGAGCAAAACAAACAAACAATCTTTCTTGAGATTCCTAGTCATATTCTACACTTTGGTATCAGTTCTCACTAAGCATCTCAGATTTTGGAGCAAATTGTTCATCTCGGAAAACTTCTTCTTTTCACTTGCTCCAGTCTCTACACGATTTGTGCAGAGAGTGGTTTTCTTCTCAACATGAGCACACCAATTTCCAAGTGTCTGAGATATGAACCTGGGCAACAACCCTTGACACTGAGCAAGTTGCTGCTGCATGGCAGGGAGCAGAGACTGTGGGAGGTGGACAAGGGGTGGCAGGTCAACTGAAACTGGCCTTTTGAATGGATCATCTACAGTTTTACTGGCATTTTTCATCAACAGGAAGAGAAAGTTGCTAATAACTGAGCACCAAGCCATGGGCAGAGCTCATGGGAGGAATATGCCTCTGTCACAGGTTTCTGAATGCCAAATTAAACAAGCACTAGACTCTTCCAGAGAAGAATGCCAAGATGTATTGTTTGGGAAAACTGCTGCCTGGCAAACGAGGACAGGTCATGCAAAAGGTCAAAAATGAGACTGATGTTTGACTGTTACACTCCAGTACAGAGTCATGAATCAGAACTGGAAAGAACTGAAGGACATGCAAGAAATGGTGACATGAACTTGGACTCTTCAGCCTGGAAAAAGAATGCTGAAACGGGCACAGTATCCTTAACCATAGAATTACCAGTGTCTGAAAGAAGGACTCATGGCTGAAGGCAGCAGGTGTCCAAAAGCAGCTGGAACTTCATCAAATTATTTGCAAAAATGAGAAAATATTGATTTTGAAGGTATTAAATTTTTTTTCTTGTAAAATGGTTGGTCACTGCAACAAACATACAGCAACAGCACAAGGAAGTGAAAGCAGTAACAACATTCTTGCTGTTAATTCCTGCCTCATCTTGGCTTCTTTTCCTAAACTCTAACTTGGAAATGTTTCTGATGTCCCCACTGATGAGGAACTGAAGCACCATTTCTGGAGACTCTGGAACATCACATTGCTTTCAACATACTAATTTTGAAAACAAAGTGCAACACACAACCTCAAATTATTAACACCTTTATCAGTGTTCATGCATTCATTTAAACCAGTATTGCCCAGATTGAAACTACTCTGAACACTGTTTTGCCTTAAAGCATCTTTCATTCACACTTGGCAACATCCTGATAAATTAGGAATGCAGTTTGTTGCACTGTAATAAAGAGGCTTGTAAAAATAGCTTAGTGTTAATTAACTTTTATAATTCTTGGGGATTATCAGGCAGAATTTATAATGTCATGCAGCAACGAGGGAGAAAGTGAGATATGTTATGTTGGTCTATACACAATGAGAAAACAGCAGGGAAAGGAGAACCATGGAGAGGAAAGGAGAAGGAAAATTAGACAAAATCTACATTAGCTTACTAATCAAAATTAAACCAAGCTTGCTGACACTGTTTGCTTTATGCTGAATCCACTCAGCTTTGATCTGCTGGTAGAAGACAGAAATAGGCCAAGCCCTGCTGGCTTGTTGGGAATTTTCAGTTGCCAGTAGGGCTTATTCTTACCTGTCATTCATTATGATTACCTACATTCATTCTAAGCCACATAACTCCCTCTTCCCTTCAGCATGGTTTGGAAGCTCCTCCTTTTTTTTTTTTTAGTTTTTAAAATGCACACTATCATAAGCCAGGTCAGAGCTGGGATGCACTCTCATTTAGTGCAATGGGTAAAGGAGGAAAAAAAGCATTAGCAAGTAAAACCCTTGGCCTTGTGCCTACTTAGCCAGTCCTAAATTAGAGTGAGGTTACACTGCATTAGTCTTTGCATACCCAGCTATGCTAAAAGCCAAGTTATCCTTCTTAAAGTAGCAATGGTTAAGAAGAGCATTTGAGCAAGATGTTGAGTATGTGTTGAGTATGTGTTGCTGCAGAGTGAAGTTGACTGTTTGAATCACAGTCAACAACTCTCAGACAAACTCTGAAAATTCAATTTGAGCAAGATCTGAGTTTTAGGCTCCAAATTTTAGACAACTTTGACAAAGCTTTTCCAGCGTGCTGTTAGATTCTGCCTTCACAAGTCCATGCTTCCCCAGTATCAATAGAAATAATTACAAGAGTTTGGTAGCAGAATTGAACCCCATATTCCTCCCACAGCACAATTCCTAAAACATCTGTATTTAGAAAGGATTCTAATACATTTCCAAAAGCTGCAACATGCTGCACCACATGATCAAGGATATAACTGTGTCAGTGCAAACTCTTCACACAGCCTCTAAGAAAAGAGCAATAATAAATAATGCTCAGGTTCCTTCTGATAAACAAAGTCCCTGCAGGGCTGATATTATTTAGAGATGGATTTACTTAGCTATTGAGCACCAAAAATTGGAGCACCAATCATGAGAATTATTGGAGGGTTGAATTCCAGTGAGAAGTCAACCCCTGGCACTAAGGTACAAGCATTGCCACGCTCAGAACTGAAGCAGTTAAAGTAACACTTCACTTCTCATTTAACTGGACAATAAACAGTTAAAAATCACAAGAAACTCAACTCCCAGAGAGGAGAAAACACCAACTGTTTGAAACACAGGTGACAGGAAAGAGAAGCCTGGGACTTTACCCTGCAGGACTCCCTTGCGTAAATCCAGTGTTCTGCACATGCTGGAGCCCTCAGGAAGTTACCAATTACCTTCCACATTAATCTTTCCAAAAGCACTCCCCTTTCCAGCTGAACCAAATATGACTGCATTAGCAAAACAGCCATGCTAATTTTCCATTGCCTGTAAATTCATGTTGATAGCCAGAGATTTAATAGGTCTGTCAGGTGTGCTGCCTTCTCAGAGCCCCCACGGTCCTTAGATGTGCTAAGGAGACAATTTAAGACTGGGGACAGTTATGTTCATATCCTGCATCTGTTTCACTTAAACAGAAGTTCCTCCTCCTAGTTCAGCCAAATCAGCTCAGGTAAAGAAATGACATGCTCCC